CTTTCTTTCTTTCTTTCTTTCTTTCTTTCTTTCTTTCTTTCTTTCTTTCTATCTTCTTTCTTTTCAGTTGCCTCTTGAAAAAGCACCTTTGGCACAATCATGATTGGATGACCGAAAATCTTCTTAGACTTCCTTCATCCCTCCCTCCCTCCCTCCCTCCCTCCCTCCTTCCTTCCTTCCTTTCTTTCTTTCTTTCTTTCTTTCTTTCTTTCTTTCTTTCTTTCTTTCTTTCTTTCTTTCTTCTTTCTTTTCCAATTGCCTCTTGGAAAACCACCTTTGACACAATCATGACTGGATGACTGAGAATCTTCTTAGACTTCCTCCCTCCCTCCCTTTCTCTTTTAATTAATGTTTTTTTTTATCAATTTTTATGTTATATTTTTGCTGGATAATGGACGGCTGTTTATCCCAAGCACGTTTAAACTCATTGCCTAATGATTAACAATCCGCTGAAAGTGGGTTCCAGGCTTCCCCTATTTTTTCTGTGAAATGATGCTTTCTTTCTAAGGTTACTTTTGAACTTTTGAATATTCATAGCAGCTTCCTCTCTCTCTCTCTCCCTTCCACCTCTGCTCCGCAGATGATCCAGCCGTTTATTTTGCGCAGATCCAAACGGGATGTCGAAAAACAGCTGACCAAGAAGTACGAACACGTGCTCAAGTGCCGGCTTTCAAACAGGCAGAAAGTGATGTACGAAGACGTCATTCTCCAACCCGAGTACGTCTTTCTGCGCTGAACATTAAGTCATTAGTGTTAATTAATGATTACTTAATCATTAGTAATGAACAGGATCGCCTTCAGTGTTGCCCAGAAAGGGCACAACTATACACACATGTGTCGGGGCCAGTTGCTGAGCACCTAAAATGCATTAGGATGCCATTAGGATTTCATTTTAATTTAAAGTGACAGTAATGTTATTCTGAGTCTGAGGGATGGATTGCCCCGAACGCCTCCCCCCTCCTTTCCTCTTTGACGGCAGGAGCCCGGCAAGGCGCCAGGCCAGCGATGGAGATCCTGACATCCTGATCTCACGGGCATCACACCCTCCCCTGTTGCGGCCTTGACCCTCTGCTCTCTTCTCCCTGGGCAGGACCCAAGACGCTCTGAAAAGCGGGCATTTCGTCAGCGTCCTTCACGTCTTGATGCAGCTGCAGAAGATCTGCAACCACCCGGATCTGATCAACCCCCGGCTGTGTGGCTCCTCTTACGTTTCAGAGGCGTTGCAGTACGCAACGGCCTCGCTGGCCTTCACAGCGGTAGAAAGCAACCTGTGGAAGGTGAGGCAGAACAGTGGACTTGCCAGGTTCCCTGGTGGGTGAGGAAGAGGGAGAATCGTCCCAGCTTCTCCTTTCAAATTTCAACTTTTCTGTCCCAAGGGGTGACCCAGGACTCCGCAATGTGTGTGCGGTGTGTGTGTCTGATTGAGTGAGTGTGTGTTTGTGTGTGAGAGGGAGAGATGAAATGGACTAATGATAGAAGAGAATCTTTGTAGCTCAAGGTTGAACTGTGGCGTCCTTGGTGCGCTCTGAGCTTGGTGGCTTTCTTGCAGATGTTTCATGACCCAGCTAGGTAGCATCATCAGTGCTAGAAGAGAATGGGGTGTGCAGAATAGAGGAGAAGAAAGAGGAGAAGGACTGTGGGGTCCTTGGTGCTCTCTGAGCTTGGTGGCTTTCTTGCAGACGTTGCATGACCCAGCTAGGTAGCATCATCAGTGCTAGAAGGGAGTGGAGGAGAAGAAAGAGGAGAAGGACTGTGGGGTCCTTGGTGCTCTCTGAGCTTGGTGGCTTTCTTGCAGACGTTGCATGACCCAGCTAGGTAGCATCATCAGTGCTAGAAGGGAGTGGAGGAGAAGAAAGAGGAGAAGGACTGTGGGGTCCTTGGTGCTCTCTGAGCTTGGTGGCTTTCTTGCAGACATTGCATGACCCAGCTACGTAGCATCATCGGTGCTAGAAGGGAGTGGGGTGTGCAGAGTGTAGGAGAAGAAAGAGGAGAAGGACTGTGGGGTCCTTGGTGCTCTCTGAGCTTGGTGGCTTTCTTGCAGATGTTTCATGACCCAGCTAGGTGGCATCATCAGTGCTAGAAGGGAGTGGGGTGTGCAGAGTTGGAGGAGAAGAAAGAGGAGAAGGACTGTGGGGTCCTTGGTGCGCTCTGAGCTTGGTGGCTTTCTTGCAGACATTGCATGACCCAGCTAGGTAGCATCATCAGCGCTAGAAGGGAGTGGGCTTTGCAGAGCGGAGGAGGAGGAGGAGGAGGAGAGGTGGAGTAGGAAAAGGACTGTGGGGTTCTTGATGGTCTCCGAGCTTGGTTGCTTTCTTGCAG